ATGTCTCCCATAGCTATATTCCCGTTAACCCTGACCCACAAACTCTCTGTGGACTCCTCACTTGTCCCCGGACAGAGTTCCATACTCTCCAGCCTATCCCTAACATAAAGGGCAACTCCCCCTCCCCGCCTGCCAGGCCTGTCTTTCCTAAAGAGCCTGTAACCTTCCATTCCAACGCTCCAGTCATAGGACCCATCACACCATGTTTCTGTGGTGCCTATTATATCATACCCCCGTAGATGTGCACGCATCTCTAATTCTTCTTGTTTGTTCCCCATGCTACGGGCATTTGTATAGAGGCACCTGAGCCGAGCTCCAGCTGAAGCCAGCTCATTGGCTGGAGCAGCTGGGATATCTCTACAGTGCTCCAAGCATTTATTATAGGTTCTGGCAACTGAGAAGTCATAAGTGATGTATTTTCTCTGATTACCTATTGTGGAGAAAGTGCCTCTAAGTGAGGTAATTATGCATTTGGCCAAACTAGTATGACAGACTTTGGCAGGCATAGGCTGCATCTTGTGGAGCAGGCAAGAACACCAACATGTGAAATAATTCTGTCCCCTGTTGTTGGGCCCTTTCCTATAACAACACTGAGAGATAAAGCTTTCCTCTGTTAAAATAAAGTGTTCTCAGAAAGGGAGTTAAGCTGTATTACTTGGAGTGCAAGGCAAATTCTTACACAAGCCAACAGCACCACTACTTTCCCCAAAGCCTTTGGTGTCCAGAGTAGAGGTTTCTATTCTGCTATTTGATATGACAGTGTGGTCTTTTGCTTATTTTAAAGCCTACATTGTTATGCTGTCCTTTTCTAGTTTAACAGGAATTATCTGGGACCTGACTGTGATAGCCTCCAAGATGTAGATTTGTTCATGTCCCCATAGCTACCAGAGTTGAAGCAGGTACAGTATCATCACTAAATAAAGTGATGGAGTTCAGTGATTGATAAAGTGGTGGAGTTCATTTACAAAATATAACGTAGTCTCTAAAGCATCAAGTTTGGCAATATGTTCCACAGAGCAGGGCGTCCATCACTATACTCTTAGAAGTCTTCCTCCATTGTGCTGACTGATAGCTGCTTTGGATGAAACTGTAGCACAGTTAACTTTTCTAACTCGAGCTCCTTGATACATGTTGTCTACAGGCATGGTCTGCATGATACCTGTATTTAAAGCACAGAGAAAGTAAGGAGAAACAAGGGAAGACTTGCATTTCAGTGGCACAGATATTGTTCCGCACATTAGGGGATTGTCTGTAAATATACTTCTGCTTAAAGTGAAGCAATTGGTTTGTTTTTATTGCCAAATCAAGAGTTGCATACTATGCATCTTTTTTTTCAGTGTATACGTGTATGTATCCCTTCATAACCTCAGGTCACCTCCATTCAGTTGCAGAATATGTGCTTTGCAGTAAAGCTGCTTCTTTTTCCTTAGTGAACAAGCTGAAAATAAAGACCAGAATTCTAGCCACCATCTAGGAGCTGAGCTTGTTCATTCTACACAAAATCATGAAAACATTGCTTGTGCTACCAGACACTTGTTACTAAATTTCTTGACTTACAGGCTGTAATAAATTCTTTGGGGAGGGACAGTGCAGTCTTTGACAGGATTGTAAGACAAACTTAGAATACGTGGTAGTTAACCAGAGCTAGAAAGCTTGAAGCCATATCTCTAGCCTTTCTCTTAGTCTCAATGACATCGGCAAAAAAATCTTTGGCTGAGCTGTTGCTTTTAGACTTCAGTCTGAAGGTGGCCCTTCTTCTGGGAGGATGGGAAGCTTGGTCAGCAGTCACTTCTCTATGGGGGTTGGAGGGGAGAGGCAGGCTTTTTCTGCTTAGTGTTGGCAACAGCTCCTGAGATAATTCCAGTCTCTTTAGCAAACTGCAAGGGTAAAACATGTTTTTGTGGACTGTAGTAGCAAGAGGAGCGGAGCAAGGGAAAGCACTGCAGAAACTTGTTATCTTAGTTTCTTGTATTCTTCCCTTAATAACAGTAATGGTGCAAGGTGGGTTGTCATAAACCTGCCATTGCCACAACCTGAAGCACTTGTTCATCTAAGAATCATAGAATAGTTAGGGTTTGAAAGGACCTTAGGATCATCAAGTTCCAACCCATGGGCAGGGACACCTCACCTAAACCATCTCACCCAAGGCTCTGTCCAGCCTGGCCTTGAACACCGCCAGGGATGGAACATTCACAACCTCCTTGGGTAGCCCATTCCAGTTCATCAACACCTTCACAGGAAAGAACTTCTTCCTTATATCCAATCTAAACTTGCCTTGTTTAAGTTTTAACCTGTTACCCCTTGTCCTGTCACTACAGTCCCTAATGAAGAGTCCCTCCCCAGCATCCCTATAGGCCCCCTTCAGATACTGGAAGGCTGCTATGAGGTCTCCACGCAGCCTTCTCTTCTCCAGGCTGAACAGCCCCAACTTCCTCAGCCTGTCTTCATACGGGAGGTGCTCCAGTCCCCTGATCATCCTCGTGGCCCTCCTCTGGACTTGTTCCAACAGTTCCATGTTTTTTATGTTGAGGACACCAGAACTGCACACAGTACTCCAGGTGAGGCCTCACAAGAGCAGAGCAGAGGGGCAGGATCACCTCCTTCGACCTGCTGGTCACACTCCTTTTGTCTTTCAGTTGTTCTTTCTTTATTGTCCCCACAGAGGGAAATAGCAGTCTTGCTTAAGTTGGTAATTGCAGAGGATATACTTCTGATCTTGCTATGTTCACATGACTCTACATCTCTGTGTTGCCTATGTTTTTATTTTCACAAATTATAGTGGAGTTTCACAGTAGAGAGGGTACTTCTTCTATGTTTAATCTCGGTAGTGCATTTTCTAAATGTGGAAGAGGGCCAAGGAGACATTTCTAGGATAGCTGAAACCGCAGGTAATTTATCTTCTGTTTGTGCCCTAGTACCCCAGGCAGACTTGAGAAACCCTTTGTACTAAGCCCATTTGGGAATCTGTGAGGCTTGGTTCTGTTGCTAGAACATGGATATTGCATAGCTTCTGATGTCCTGATGTTAGCAGAGACTTCTGTCTAGGGGTTGTAGGTATGACCTAAAATTTGAGACTTGGGGCATTATGGAGCAGCAGTGGAGTGTTTCTAGGAGAATCTAAGGCATTACAGTTGGCATGAGATATCTGTGTTTAATAATGGAATTGAGTCAGCAGCAGTACTCCAAAGAGCTTACTGTGCTAATAAACAAGGCAGAAATAAGGGAAAAGAGTGTAAAGCACCAGCAGCATGGTCAGAGCTAGCTGAGGGCAAGAGGTTTCCCATATGTATTTGTAAAAGTGGGCAGAGTGAGTAACTGAGTAGGAAAGAAGGAGGTTTAAAGAACAAGTGGTTTGGAAGGGAGAAAAGTGTAGGAGAGGAGAACAAAGTCAAAGGAGCCAAAATACTAGCAAAGGTCCTCTGAGGGGCAGAGGGAGGGAATTTCCAACAGCAAAAGAAGCAGCAGCTAGTCAAAACAAAATGCTCTGCTTCCTTACTGGGGTTGGAAGGTCACAGACCAGCAGCTGCCACAGGCCTGATCATTGCTTCTCTGCCTCAGGGATGAGCTGCCTGTCACTGGTTATGCTCTTAAGAGTCATAGGTCTTTACCAAACCTGTGACTGTATTTTGAAACAATGCATTGAAATAATCAAAAGTTGTTTATGGTCAAAATGCTTTGCTGTTGTTTACACTTATAATCCCCACCTCATCCTTTCCCCTCTACTGCAGCCTTTCCTGTCTGGGGAGCAGGAGAGCCAAACGTAAATTCAGCCTCATTTCTTTGGAGTGAACCAACCCCTTAACTTTCTGCTCTTTTGCTTCCCACTCAATGCCTGGCAACACAGTCTAGAAAAGTGAGTAGGCAATACTTGCTGTGCTGCCATTTCCTCCCCTTCCAAGTCCCCCCCCAGCTCATTAACTTCCCATTATGAGCTACATGAGTTTTTGCACAGCTGTTTGCATAGGAAGATCTTGTCAAGCAGTCCAGCTCCCCAGAGCCAGCATTAGTGTCAGGCAGGTGACAAAAGGCCAAGACCAGAATTCAAGGAAAGCAGCGTGGCAAATAAATTTTCTTGCTTTCACTCCAAGCACTAGAGAACTGGTTAATTCCACGGAAATCCTTCTTCTCTGCCAACATTCTCTGTTATGCTGCATTTTGAAAAAACATGCATAAGTTGCTCTGATGATCAATTAACTTTATTTCTTAATGCTGAAAGAGGGAATTGCATTAGTGCCAACTTCTGATTTACAGTTGTCGTGTAGCATCCTTCTTGCAACTCTTTCCAGACTAGGGAGAACATGTGTATAGAGTGAAATACTAAAACCAGTATTGGAATGGGAAGTTGGCTTCAATCTGACCTGTGTAGAGCAGAACACATCTAGCAGATGTAATATGTTATGAATGTTTTAGAAACTAAGGAAAAAATATTTCTACAGTGGTTGGCTGAAAAGTGGCAAGCTATCAGTAAGATAAAAAGTTAGAGGGTTGTCCATGTAGATGAAGCTGCCAAGGAGAAGACCCTTGTGCTTCTGTGGGGATATTAGGGAAACATATACAGGACTAATTGCAAAGGAGCTGATGCTTGAAAGAAGCAAAGTTTTCTATAGCTGACTGGCACAATGAATATAGGCATTAAAAAGTGCAAAGGATGACGCTCTGTTGTTTCCGGGATCCAGTGGAAGAAGTGGATTGGACCTGCTCTTTTCACAAAACAAGCAGTAGAGTTCTGCACGGACTGCACTTTGTGGACAGCAACACTTTCCTAAGACACAATTTTTGCTTCCCTCTTTTCCCCCACAAACAGAATATATTTAATCTTGACTCTAAGGAAATGAAATTTCCCGCTTGTGGAATGTTATTATTTGTTCAGCCCAAGGGAGTTCTTTGGATTGAACATAAAATTATATAGATGGAAATGCCATGATAGATACTAATGGTGGACTTTACCTGAATATTTAAAGGTGCAGTAAGGTAAACTTAAATATCCACTGTGTTTTCAGAGCTGTATGGTTTTGATGTCCTTATTGATGACACTCTCAAGCCCTGGCTGTTGGAAGTAAACCTATCCCCATCGTTGGCCTGGTAAGTGATTCACAGTTTAATATGAGGCTGGGACTGTTGCTAATGATGGTTGTCCTTGGAACTTGTGGTCCTAGGAGGGCCTAGGATTTCATAATTCCTGCAGAGTATTTGTTCCACTGCTGATTAACAGAGATAGTCCTTTGCTTTTCCCTGTGCGTAAACAAACTTATTGCAGCAATAAGTTTTGAAAGAACCCAGTTGGGATTCCATTTTCTTTTTAATTCTTTCTCCTCCACCATCCGTCGTCATTGTTAACACTTCATAATCTCCTATCATAGATGAATTTTGAAACTCTCCAGGCTATAATGTGGGATTTCAATCTCCTTTGCTGAGTAGAAACTAAGATTTTGGAGTCTAAGCAGAGTTCAGGCATTATGCTTGACTTGAGTATGTAAATACATGTTTGGGCCCAGATTTTTGGTCTAGTACTCTCTTTAGCTAAAATCTGAAGAATGAGTGTTGTCTTGGCCCTTATGCTGACCTCATACTCTAATGAAACTTCAGGATTTATTCTTTTTTTGTAGATCTCTAACTATGTGTGTTTCCTGGACTACTATTTAGCTTTACAGGAACACAGATGCACAATGCACTTCTGTAGTAGTGTGAGTCATACTTCAGTTAGGATGGTATAAATAAGCTTTAAGTTAAATGTTCCTGGAATAGCCATATCTGACCTTCCTCTAGGCATCCCTTCCCCCCCCTTCCCATTCATAACCCTACCTTCCCCTACCTTCCACAGTACCTGTTTTTGGTTTCAAGTGCATCTAAAATGTTTCCACAATATTTATTTTCCTGGTTTGGTTGGTTGTGCTTATATGCATACACACCAAATTATTTGCATCCTTTACTATTTAAAACTGTAAGTCACATCTGCATCCTTTGTTCTGCTTTATGATTGCCATTCTCTTTGTCCAAGCTTGGCATTTTTCTTTGTTGGCATCTCTCACTGTGCTGCAGAACATGGTTGATTTCTCTGCTTCCAAGGAATCAAACTTTGTCTGTCTGATCTGAACTGTATCCATTGATTTTTCCACTGGATAAAATTATAATTGCATCCCATCTGTGCCCACTGTCTGACCTTTTCATATTTATCACCTTCCCTAATCATTTTTTGTCATCCATTAGAACTAACCTGTCTGATTTTATGATTTTATGTGGAAGAGGCATAGGTAATTGTGTTTTTTAATAATTCTGTGACAGCAGCTTCTACCTGCTTCCTGAAATGTTGTATAGATGCATTCAAAGCAAATGCGTCTAGCCAAGCAGAGCTATGACAAGATGGCATGTTGCTGCAGTAGAATACTAAAGTAGTGAAAAAGGATAAATGGAAACAGATTAATCTTTACCTATTGGTGTGAAAATCATATAGTTTTCTTCCCATGTTGATTATGTCTGTGTTAAGGACCAATACAAAAAAAATGTATTGGAAGATGTTTTGAGATGCATTCCTCTCATTTAATGCCAGATAAGTAATGCCTGTTGTCCTTTGTTGCATGTGGGGTTAGTGATGCTCCTTTGGATCTGAAGATCAAAGCTAGCATGCTCTCAGATATGTTTACCCTTGTAGGTGAGTGTAACAAAAAGCTCCTTCAATCTTCCCATCATTAGAACCAATAAAAGATAGGTTTATGAGCTGAATGTTATTAGTGTATAATAGAGGAGAACTCCAGTTAAGGAGTACATCTGTATTTAGCACTGGGGTGTCGTATGTGGACATTTCTGCTTCAGAATAATCTGTCTGTGATGTTTATGTGGTATGTAGAGTCCCTAGTTCAGTATTTGAAGATGCTACTGTTTCTCTTTAATTAATGTGGTGGGTTTCGGTTGTGTTTTTTTTTTGTTGTTTTTTGTTTTGGTTTCATTTGGGGGTTTGGTTTGGTTTGGTTTTTTTTTTTTGGGGGGGGTGTCATTTGTTTTTTGGATTTATTTTTCTTTTTTAGGTAGGTTGTGTGGATTCTGGTTAGCATATGTTAGAAGAGGAGTCATGGTTGTGAAAGCTGCATGACTGTCTAGTGCATAGCACCTTTTAGGCATCCCTAGTACGTTTTGGTTCAGTTATTTGATGCAACTTGCCCCAATACTGAAAGAAGCAGAATTGTCATAAGGTAGCCTGCTCAGCAGTTTAAGAAACAGACCCCATCTCTGTGCTGCTATTCAGTAACTTGGTTTTGAGAGAAAGTTTCAGTGTTAATCAAAAAAGTGTGATGCAGTGTAAAGTTTAGGATTAAACAAAGCATGGTGTAAAAAGGAATAGTATTATTTTTGGTCCTTGGACAGGACGGTCATGTATATAAATTAAAAGGAATGCTAGGTTTATGTTTCAGGATTTGCCTGACTTGAAGTTCTTACGTGGCTCCTCTGATGCCCCCAGGCTTCGTCTGCCAGGATCCAAGCCAACGCTCAAGCCGGGACAATTGTTCATCTGAATCTGTCAGGAGAAATCTGTATCAGAAGCTGCAGGTAAATTAATTCAGCTAGAGCTGAGGAGAATAGCAGGGAAGTTATTCTCATTGAATCTGGCTCACAGGTGGGAGAAAAAGTCAGTGAGTAAGGTTATCTGGGTTTCTAGCGTAACTACAGAAGAGACTCAGCAGATCCACCTGGGCTATGGGCTGTTCAGCCACTTCCGTTTTGTGAAAGCTGGAGAGGGACTTTTTATAAGAGCAAGGAGTTAACAGGGCAAGTCTTTAAACTGAAAGAGGTTAGATTTAGATTAGATATAAGAAACGGGTTGCCCAGTGAAGTTGTGGCTGCTCCATCCCTGGAAGTGTCCAAGGCCAGGTGGGATGAGGCTTTGAGCAACTTGGTCTGGTGGAAGCTGTCCCTGCCCATGGCAGGGGGTTGGAACTAGATGATCTGTAAGGTGCCTTCCAACCCAAACCAATCTGAGATTACATGAAAAAGTAGGGAAATTCCTATGTTGGACTTTAAAATGCATTTCTTCTGAGGTAAATAGGCAAACAGAGTATCTTGGCACACTCTGCAGCTGACAAATATGTTCCTGTGAGGGACATGCATAATGGCTGTGTAGTTCAAGTTCAATTAGGAAATGAAAAGTATTTTTTTCAGTGACAGAGTACCAATATATTGTCCATTTTTTTATAGGGAAAGCTCACAGAAATGGCAACATTTTGCTTCTTTTAAAACTTGGAGTCTTGGCTCACAGTGAGAGAGGTGAATAGTTTGCAAGTTGAGATTTGAGTACAGGATGCATGGCCGAGTCCAAAGCTTCTAAGGCCATTTTAATAGATACAGTTTCATACAGATCCCTATGACCTTGAAGGTCTTCTTTGTGGCAGACAAAATGTATGTTAGATAAATTGGGAACCATATAGAAAAAGTGATCTTCTTTTAGAGTGATGACAAATCTTTGGGGTCTGATTGAATGTTTTATCTGGAAAAAAAAATAAAAAATTAGTCTCAGAAAATGAAGCCATTGGGGAGCATTGAATTTTAATGTGGCTTTAAACTTTTACTTTGCTTTAAAAAAAAACACAAATAGGTGTAAGGCCTGGCCAGTTGAAATATGCAAAGATTCATATGACAGAACAGTGGTTATGAGATGGGATTAACTTCAAGGCCAGGTTGTACAGAGCCTTGAGTGATATGGTTTAATGCGAGGCGTCCCTGCCCATGGCAGGGGGGTTGGAACTAGACGATCTTAAGGTCCTTTCCAAACCTAACTATTCTATGATTCTATGAACTTATCTTTTGGGACAGGTGTCATCCTTACCTATGTTTACCAGTCACAGGCTGCTAATCCAGTGATAAAGTTTTATAGCATGTTTTTGGCATGTTCTTTGCTGAATGCATGCCCAGTGTTCCTGGTCATGAGATAGTTACTCTGTTTTCTGAGTTTCACAAGACTGGACTGCAAGTTCTTTGTGCAGTTTCTTCGGTTTGACCCTCTGAGCATTTCTCCCTCTGGGGAAATTAACAATTCGGCTGTTTCTTATTGTTCATTTAGGTAGGAGCTCTTTCAATTTATCATAAGCAATACAGAGACCTCGACCTCTTTTGTATAGACCAACTGTAGACAAAAAGTTGGCAGTTCTCCAGTTAGAAATGATAGATAGGTCTCTTGAGAGTCATCGTTTGCTCCTCTTGGGCATTGGAGAGGAGGAAGACAGCCTGAATACCACCAAACACAAGAAAAATCTAAGCACCTATCATAATAGTTTTCTTTTGAACCTACTATCATTACACTGTTATTGCTTGTAGACCTGATGCCAGATAAATAATACAGGGTACTTTTTGACATTCTGCTGATATTTCTACACCTGTTTCTCCTTAATACATAGCTATTAAATATTTTCCTCTAACTCTTATCTTTTAGAAAAATATGAATTTTGGTCATTAGAATTGAGTTAATTCATCCATTCTGCAGAGCTCTTTTTTGTGTGTTCGAAAATGATGTAAATGCCCAGATGCATTCTGTACAGTTGAGCGCATCTGAGGCTAGGATTAGTGCTGTATTTTAATGGGGACAGAATACATTTGTGGAGCATATGAAAATGATCTGCACTGAGATGATAGAGACTATTAGCTGTATCTCTGGACTTCATTTATATCCTTTTACTTTAGGGTACTCACCATTCCTCTGCAGCTTGAGTGGTGATGATAGTGTCTTGGAGAACACGAGGTTCTTATTTCTCTTTGTGTGTCTCTTGCAGCATCCTGTGTCTATGCAATCGCAAACAACAAATACTAAATTGATAAGTGCCCTTCAGCTCCCTTCACCAGCATAAGGGATGCAGTTTCAAATATTACCTTGTACAATACTTTTGGTGCAGTTGGTCCCAAAATATATTTTTCAGCTAAGTGGCCTGAGTGGGGAGGAAGAGGAGAGGAGAGGGCTGGGTGCTGGCATATGTTTCCATGTGGCAAGAGCAAAGGTTGGAAAAACATTTACATCTGTTCCAGCAGCTTAAAAAAAGAGTGGGTGATGTGTGCTGAGAGACAAGATCAGCTGGGTTAAATCCCTTAAAGTTTTTAAGCCTACAAGTATTTCTGAACTGCATTTTAAAGAATTTGAATATAAATGCTTAAAGATAAAGTTGTCATTTTGGTCATCAAATGATGAAGACAGTGGTAGCACAGTGTTTGGGATTTGGTAGGTCACTGAAAGGGAAAGTGCAAAAACTGATGAAAACAGCAGCAAATAGAAGTGTCACATCAAATGGGAGGAGGAATTTTTGTCTTGTGTGCTACAGGGGATGAAATGAGACTGAATGATATGCATGGCACAGGTGAATGTGTATTGACAGAATTTAGGAGGCCCCATAAGAGAAGTAATTATTTTCTGTGAGACAGTCATCTGCAGGAAACTGCAGAAACTTGAGAGTGAGCTGGGTCAAAATAGATAAAGGTAAGAATGATTTATTGAAGGTAATGGAAAATGTAGAACTACTGTTAGAATAATTCAAACTGATCCACATTTCTGAATGTTATATTTTGCACCCTCCTTTCAAGCCATATGGACAAATCAATGTTAGTTTACTTTTTGAAGCACCCAGCTATGTGGGGACACAGTAGGCATTGTTTTGCTGCTAGGCTTTCTGTATAAATGTAATAGTGATGATTCTGACTTTTTTTGAGGTTTCTCAGCAGGAATGAAGGTAGGACAGATGGAATCATCTTGAGAACCTAATTAATTCTACGCACTGCCATTTGTCATTCTGTGGAAGTGTAGCTGAGGACAGTTCAGCCAAGAAGAGAGTCTCATTGAATAATGAGGTCTCATAGAGAATAGGAAGGGTCTTTGTGCCAACTGCTGTCATTGCTTAGTATAATTAGAATGCTGATGTGGGAACCAGAGATGTTTGCAGAATTTGGAGATAAAACAAAATGCTTGGATTTATCTGTACTTCTAAAGATAAGCTGGGTCAAAGAGGGAACAAAATCTTTGTGAAGTTGGAGACATTTCTGTGCTACAGCCAGAGAGGATTCTGTAGTGAAACACTGAAAAAACTGTGCAGAAAGTTCAGTAAAGTTAGTTTTTCTCTAGTGTTTTGACAGTAGTGTAGCTTGCTCTCAGGTAGGAGTCAGAGCTTTGCCAGATGTAGGAACCACAGCTGCCAATATATAGGCATAAATTTTCTGTTTGTAATCAATGCACTTATCTCCATTGTATTGAGATTCTGGAGATGATTTCATTGGGGTGTTTTCTTAGTAAAAGAGATCATCTGATAAGAGGGAAACTTTAGTGTAATATTATCTTTGAGCAGCAGTTCTCACATGATGATTATTATCATTGTGTCAGGAAATGGTTTTTAAGAGGAGTTTACCAAGCAGGAGTTTACTGAGCAGGAGGAGATTAAAAAGCTTAAAATTTAATGCTTAACAATGTTTCAGCTGGCACGTGCTATATCTGTTTTCTCTTTGGATCTTTCTGTGTTGGTCATTGCGGTGTAACCCATTCTAGTGCAATGCTTGCTGCTTTTGCAATTGCTTCATCTGAAGATTTTGAGTAGCCATGTGCAATTTCTAATGAAACAGCTCTTACAAGTACAGGTACTGCCAGATCTTGCCATGAATTTTAGTCATATCTGAGCAGCATGGGATATTCCCCTGGATTTATCCAGTTCAAGGTTTCTGTCATGCTTTTCTTCTCTTTCTGGATTAAGAAGGCTCTTTCTGCCTTCTTTGCTCAGGATAGCACTAAAAGAAAACTTAAATTTTGTATGAAGTCACAAGACCTTCCTAGCTAGGCTCTTCTATAACATTAACAGGCAATTTATCTGAACTGGTCCTAAGACCAGCTAAAATGTGCTTAAGAACTTGTTCAAAGATTTCAGTCTTGCTAGGATTTTAAGATAATAAGATAAAGCAGCCCTGCGGAGAAGGACTTGGGGTTGTTGGTTGATGAGAAAATGAACACGAGCTGGCAGTGTGTGCTTGCAGCCCAGAGAGCCAACCGTATCCTTGGGCTGCATCAAAAGGAGCGTGACCAGCAGGTCGAGGGAGGTGATCCTGCCCCTCTACTCTGCTCTTGTGAGACCTCACCTGGAGTATTGTGTGCAGTTCTGGTGTCCTCAACATAAAAAGGACATGGAACTGTTGGAACAAGTCCAGAGGAGGGCCACGAGGATGATCAGGGGACTGGAGCACCTCCCGTATGAAGATAGGCTGAGGAAGTTGGGGCTGTTCAGCCTGGAGAAGAGAAGTCTGCGTGGAGACCTCATAGCAGCCTTCCAGTATCTGAAGGGGGCCTATAGGGATGCTGGGGAGGGACTCTTCATTAGAGACTGTAGTGACAGGACAAGGGGTAATGGGTTAAAACTTAAACAGGGGAAGTTTAGGTTGGATATAAGGAGGAAATTCTTTCCTGTTAGGGTGGTGAGGCACTGGAATGGGTTGCCCAGGGAGGCTGTGAATGCTCCATCCCTGGCAGTGTTCAAGACCAGGTTGGACGAGGCCTTGGGTGATATGATTTAGCATAAGGTGTCCCTACCCACGGCAGGGGGGTTGAAACTAGATGATCTTAAGGTCCTTTCAAACCCTAACGATTCTATGATTCTATAATCCTGGTAGTTTGAAGACAGTTTGTATTCCTGTCTTTTGTTAGAATTGAATAGGACTGCTCATCATGTTAAGAATGTCCTTGGAGAGACTGTCTGCAAAGTATTTTCTTATTTCTTAAATTTGCATGATCTTACTTGCAGATATGTCCATTAAGTGCAATAGTAACAGAAGAATAACGGGGTGAACTGAATTTTTCACTTTTTCCCTACAACTTTATCTCATCACTGATTTATAGTTCTATTGTTCTAGTGTAGCAACACAGCTGGAATAGAGAATCGTGGTTCTGGTACCACTGCGGTGTTAATCCAAGTGTATTTGGGGCCTGTGAGTGTGAACACTGGCTCTAATGTCCTTTGGGTGAGGATTTTTCTGTATGAAATCCTGACTTTGGTGTTTTTGGGTATGTTTCATGTTTTTTGAAAGGCACCAGGGGTGTAAATATTGGCACTGCTGCCTGAATCATGAGTCCTGTTGTGCTAAGAACTAGGAATGTGAATAGTCACTCTTAGTGCACACTGGGGTGTGGACTTTTCAACACTGCAGTATGGAATTGTGAATTCTGGCTGTAGTACTCTGGAGTGTAGATTCTGCTAGGAATGGGGTCCTGGAATTTGAATGTAACTTCTGTTTTTTTTAAAGTAAGTTGAGAGAGGAAAAGGGAAAAATCTGGGTTCATACTGTCTCTACAGCGTACCCGTCCTCTGTCTGCCGGTGATGCTGAAGTGAAAAACTCAATGCCCTCAGGCAGGGAAAATGTAACAGGAAGGCAAGGCACCTCTGTGCTAGGTCTCTCAATGGAAGAGGTAAGTAGGGTATTAAACCTCTCTTATTTACCTTGGCTTTCAAGCAATGTGTGCGGTTATTTGCTCAGCAAAGAGCAAGTGCATGTATATGAAAAATACGACAGAAGTAAAATTCTTGAAATAGAACTGCTGGATTTCACTGCTGGTACTTCCCTTACCCTCAGTCATGCCATATGTGCTCCAAGTAGTGAGAGATTCTTTCAGAATTAAAATTGCTTAAGGATTTCATGTGTACCCAGCCCACTCCCAGGACTGCAGTAATAGTCTTGTCCTCTGAAACTCAGAGATTTTTTTTAGGGTTCATTTTTCATTGTATCTATTTTGCTGGATTACTTTTTTTTTGTCTCTTTTTATTTGAAGATAAAAGTTCTTTGTCGAGTGAGAGAAGAGAATGAACGGAGAGGAGGCTTCATCCGGATATTCCCTACCCCATTAACATGGGGACTTTATGGGTAAGAGTAAGAATCCAATAGGATGGCTTAGTGTTGCACCAAAACTCTGTGTTGAGGGAAATTCTGTGTTAGATGTATATAGGTCAACTGACTTAGCAGTTGGAAAGACACATATTGAGGGTTCTGATAGAGTTTATTTCAGTGTTGAAGATGCTTTTTTCTACTTTTTTCCTGATCCCTTGTTTTTAACTGCTGCTGCTTTGCCTAAGTGCATGTCAAGCATTGCTTCTGATGTTGCTTTTCTGTCAGAATAAAAATGTCTTCACTTCAGATAATCCATTCCTGCTATCTTCTTTTACATCCTAGAGCTGCACATACTGTGTATTGTCCTTAGGCCATAAGCTCAATGTAGGACTCGTCATGTGAGTGATGCTATATTATGCTTTTCTGATTTTATCCAGTCTGTAATATTTCTCTGTGTCTCTTGCCTCACCAGGATCTTCAGCTGAGAAGTGATAGGTCTTCTCCTTTCCTCTTTTCTGTTATGGTACAGCATATTGTCTCAATCCACTTCTGGGATATTTGTAGTAGACTATTATTTCTGTATTACGCTGCCTTTCATTGTGTTGAGTTCTATTTTGATACCTCCTGTATTTTGTTTTTCTAGATCCTTTTTACAGTACAAGACATCAATGAACTACATGCTGGCTACACATCTGTTTAAGGACAGGTAGAAAGTTTTTCTGTTTGGGAAGGAAGCAGAAGGCACAAACAGCATGAAAAGGATTGATTTCTCGCTTAGCCGATGTTATAAACAGCAGCCTCTGATTTACAGGAGTGGTCATAGTTGCACATCTCTTCTCTTGTGTGCCAGTGACTCTGGAGGTTTTATATGTTGCCCTTCTGAATCCAAGGGCAAAAAGAAAAATACAAAAAATATTACTATAGACATGAAAAACCTTCAAGCACCTAAGCTCCTTTATGAAGGGATTATAGGTGGTCCTTGCTTACCTTTTGTTTCAAATTTAAAGTCACATTAGAGCTTGTCCTCATGTAAAGTAAGCACTGAAATTTACTTTTTTTTTTTTCCCGCTATGTACTTTCAGAGAGGTGTCTGGAGGGTAGCTCCAAATGACACCTTCTCCAATTTAAGACAGATGAAAGCATCAGTTGTAGAAGAGCTGTTCAGATTTCCTCTTTCAGAGCTTTTTTTTTTTTTCTTCTTTAAGATGGCACTCACAAGGAATTCTGTAAATGTGACTTTTTCATTGTGCTTATGAAAGACTTTGGAAGCATTTTAATCCAGTCAGAAGGTAATTTTTGCCATTTTTCCCTTTGTAGGGGCAAGATGAAAAGAGACTTCCCCACTGGGAGATGCCGGTAAATAGCTTCTTAAATAATTTGTACTTCATAGGATTTATTCTAAATTTAGATTTTGCAGCTTCATTTTCCAAGTCTTTGGTCAACACTTTTTCTATCTGGTATCTATCAAACTGATTTTATAAAAGTAAATACAGTGAGCATAGGGGATCCCAGCATGTGGAGAGCTTAAGTTTTGTTGTATTGGATCATAAAATTGCTCCTTTTAGGCTTCCTACTTTGGCATTCCTACTGTATTGATAAACCTCATCACTGAATTCTCTCTAAAGATCCTGTAATGCATGAGGGTTTTGGTTTTCATATACCCATGTATTCACTTTGCTAGATCTGAAAGATAAATGGAGCAACAGGGTTTTCCGGGGATGTTCCCACTTACATCATAAAGAGCACTTTGCTGGATCTTTGTGCATTGGTAGAAGGTTATGTTTGTTCTCCTTAAGTAATCTGTCAGGGCTCTTTCTCCCTTGGTTTAGGCAGAACTTGTAGAAAGGTTGTAATTTTTCATTTAGATTGTTTTAAAATTCTTAACTCTGAGCAAACAATGAAGAACAAGCTGTCTACGTAAAAGGTTTGGAAGGCTGGACTAGGATCCATGTGCTGTCTTCTCACTCCCCTCCATGGTTTTGTACTCTTCAAATTCAGTTTTCCTTATTAACTGTGCTTGAGCTGCACAGTGGACAGAAGCTGCTCAATCATAAAAGCATGACTATAGATAAGTACATTTTGAGGCTTTTGAGGTGATGTTCTATAAAGTACTTCCAAGATTCGCTTCAAACATTTGCAGGTTTTAAATAGAGCAAAGTTAGACCGATCATAATTACTTCTTCCCCCTGTCAGGAAAACTGTTTCTTGAAGAAAATTAATCTATTGAGTCTCTCTTGGCATCAGGAAGAGAAGTATAAAGGGAAATTGAGGATGTCTCTGTATTATACTTCCCAGAGCAGGTCTCAATGAAAAGCTGGATATGAGGCTTGAAGCTATAGACTCTCATGCTCTCTTTTATGAGAGAAAGCTTGTTTCACTGGAGTTACGAAAGCGCCAGCGATGCAATGGCAAGTCTAAAGCAGCACAGACAGGATCACCAGGTATGCATGGCTACATCTTAGATGAGCAGCCAGTCAAAACCAAATAAGCAAGGACTTTTTCATTTGAAATGTGTGTGAATGGGTTTGTTGTGGCCTTTGTAGTCCCTAAAGGGTTTCAGAGGTTGAAGTTAGTTCTCATGTCAAGTGTTAATAGTTTTCACTTCATTCTTCTTACAAGTTTCATGCCTTCTTAGTGCCTGGAATTTCATTCCCACCATTCCACATGCCTGCGTAAATGACCAAAGATAATCAATATTTTCTTGAAGATGATCTTGCAGTTGCGTTTTTGGTTACAAGAATTCAACAGTATGTGTGCCTTTACGGTCCTCCACCTTTTCAAACAAAGATGAAAACTTGGAACCTTCCAGGCTGGTTCTCCTACACAGCAGTGTCTCTAAGCTGTCGGAAAGAGAGAAATCCTTCTTATCCAGTCTGACATGGGAAAAATTTAAATGGTACAGAGGCAAATGATCATCAAAAGTGGCTCTTCCTGAAGCCGTTATCTAAACTCTTTCTAATAGCTATGTGATACTGACTGCAATGGGAGAGATTGTATGTTATAAAATTATTTTGGTGCTGTGTTAATGTATGTGATCTTTATTGACACATGTGGAAGTTTTAGATGTCATAGCTTTGGTATTTTTGATACACAGAATTACAAAAAATTAGTATATGCATCAAGTATGAGTCTCTATATATTTCCATACATATGTAAGAATCAGTATAAAATACAGGAAAATGCCTCTGTTTATTTAATTATTTTTTTCATTTGTAAATTTAAGACAAGACTTGTGGTGTGTCTTCTCTGATATTGTGAAAAGGGGTTTCTCAACTCTTTGATACACAAGCAGAAAGATAGAATAGTAAAGGGCAGCGATAGTTAAGATGCTATTCTAAAATAGTGGTGTTCTGTCCTAGCAGGAAAGAGTTTAGAGGTAAACCAAAGGGCATAAATAGCAGGACAGTCTTTCCAACTTTTTACTTTTTTCTTAATGTGCATAGGTAATTTCTCTTCTACTACAGGAACATCAGAACCAATAAAGTTGTCCCTCAAGTCAGATGCAGAAGGTGAGGAAGAAGAGGAGGTAGATACAGATGAAGATGAGCTAGATAGAACTGTTGGCTCTGTTTTGGACAGTGAGGTGAAAAGTAAGCCAAAGCTCTCTGACTTGGTGAGAACTGCTAGTAAGGAGAGGTTGCCGAAAAAGCTTGACAAGAAACCTGGAGATGGAGGAGATCTGTTTCCTCAGAAAACAAACATTCAGATCAACTTGCTGCAAACTCTTCAAAAGCATGGAAACCTGAGGTGAGAGATTTCTGCATGTTGCCTTGAATTTTGACTTGCAGCTAATATTGGTTAAAATATGGGGGATGTGCAGTTAGTGGCACATTATGATCGAGTGTTAAGAGATAAATGGACCCTAGAGAAAGGGGTCTGAATTTTTGTCTTAACTGTGGGCTGCCTTAACTAGTTGGCATGGGAGGGAGATTAGTTGCAAAGACTGACTGTTTACATGTTGGATCAGTATAATGGATAAGCCATAGTTGCCATTGCTAGTCTTTAATTTGGTGTTGCAAGCTGTTCTTTGGTCAAATCTGGCTTCTTAAATGCCTCTCTTTCTTAATGCAAGATGCCTGCTATTGAATTCTAAAATTCATCTTTATTTCTTTGCATTTACAAAGAAGTGAGTATAAACATAAGTTCAACTATCCAAGAAATGTTGGCTGCCTCTTCATAACATTAGTTGTCTCATTTTTGTGCTCTTATTTATGGTGTTGGCATTTTTACCTCTGATAATAATCTTTGCTCAATCACCTCCTGAGAGCAAGGTAGGAGGTCATCTGAGAGTGACAAGTTACTGAAACATCTTATTGCCTGCTGTTGAGTATGACAGTGTGGAACAGATTATGTTCTGATGCACGGTTCTGGTACTTGAGAAGAAGAGAAGTGCTGGAGGAGATTCTATAGGATAACACCAACCAGAGTCTTACTAGATGTTTGGAAGCATGATCCTCCCACTAAATATGGATAGTAAAACTATCTGCAAGTGGACAGGAAGGGCAAAAGGAAAGAGTGATAATGTATGATCTGTATAGGAGATTTTACATCTTCTAGATGAGAAGCAGCGTTGTTTTTAGTGAAAAATGTCCAAAGGTAGGGAAAATGATTGTTGCTTGTTCTTTCTTAGTTTAGTTTCTGAGAAGATTTATGATTTTTCAAATGGATTTTAGAATTGTTCTGATGTCTCCTTGTAGCAAGGATGTTTGCTGTTGTGACAGGGAAGATTCTGAAACCTGTTTTGAGGATGAACATATCAGTGCTGTCATATACCTATATACAGAGCTGACTTCTGACAAGAATGTAACCTCTCTCTGGTGTTTGTGGCAGAATCTTGCACAGGACCCAGTACTGTTGGGATTCCCCACAAAAGTAAGGCTTCTGGTGACCTCATGCTCCAGGATTGTGCTTGGCTTGGTCCATCTGATCTGTCATTGATGAAAGCTTTGCTTGTGGAGTCAACAGATAGAGGAGCTGAAGTAATGAAATTTTCATCAAAAAGAAACCAGGCTTGTTCCAGTCAGGTTTTGTAAGTGATAGGACACCTCTCTCTCCTTTAGTCAGCCTGATGAGGCAGTTTCTCTGCCTTCCACACACTGGGTGATACTGGTGAAGAGGTGACAGTTGAATGAAACATGTTCCCCTAACTGCCATTCCCAGGGAAGTAAAATTAAAAGGGAGTTACTCAGGTTTCAATATTCCACACACCAAAGGAGAGACAGTGTTATACAAGCACCTTCTTCATCAAATTATAGAACAGTTAGGTTTGGAAAAGGACCTTAAGATCATCTAGTTCCAATCCCCCTGCCATGGACAGGGACATGTCACACTAGACCATGTTGCCCTGTCCAGCCTGGCCTTGAACACTGCCAGGGATGGAGCATTCACAACTCCCTTGGGCAACCCATTCCAGTGCCTCACCACCCTTACAGTAAAGAACTTCTTCCTTATATCTAACCTGAACTTCCCCTGTTTCCTGTTTTGTAACCACAGATGTATTAGGTGCAGGCAAAGAACTATTACTGTGCCAATATTGATAATGGGGTCCGTAATTCTTACCAGCACAAATCTTGATCTCTTGGTCACGAGATGTTTGAGTTGCAGGTTGTTGTGGTTTAAACCAACCCGGTAACTTAAGTCTCATGCAGCAGCTCACTCACCCCTCTCCCCTTTTGCGGCTGCATGGTCTTTAAGAAGCATCAAAAGCTAATGATTAAGTAGATGCATGGATACTTTTAATGTATTTATTTTATTTTGGTTTTAATTTCAATTCTTATCTAGATTGATAAGGTCTCGATAAGTGTTACTATGTCATATGTTACTATGTAACGTGTAACAAAGTGCCCATTAAATTTACGGACATATAAAACAGGAAGACAATTTGTGAACTGAGTTTTTAATAAAATTTCAGGCACTTGTGTACCTGGAGTCATTAGGACCATAAAAGTATCTGAGAATATTCCTAAGGTGCAGAGAGGAAATAGATGAAAAAATGGTGAGGTTCCTCAGGAATCGGTCTGAGGCTGATTTTAATAAGTGATTCAAGAATGACACAAAATGTAGAGATGTGCAAATTTCATTTGCTGATGGAAAAGATTTGGAAGTTATTACCATGAGAGAAACATAGTGGAATAAACATGGAAAGAGCTGGATGAATTTGAGAATAGGAATAATATAGCTAGGATAAAATTCAGTAGCACAAAGTCCAAGGACATGCCTGTAAGAACTAATAATTTACAGCAGAAATTGTATCAACTGGGTGTTCATCAACGGGAAATTAATTATAAGGAAAAATATCTTATAAGCTTTCTAATCACAGCAGGTTTGTGAAGCTCTAGCTCATGTATGCATGCAAATGTGGTCTAGGGTTTATCACTTGAGATGCTTCTGAGATTTCATGTGTAATATTGTATACAGTGGCTATCGCCTGTGTTCAGGGAAGGTTGTGACTGGCCCTGTAGAGAGCTGCTAGTCTCATCATGTCACCAGTGTGGGTGCTTTGTTAGAAGATACTGAAAGATGTGGATAGTTCACACTAGTAAAATGAAAACTAAGGAAGGCTGTAATTGCTAATAAGTATATTCAAGGTGGGAGACCCATTAGGGATGAAATTATTTAAGATACAGGACAACGCTGGAGAAAGAAAAAGCAAATACAAACTGCTCATGAGGGAAGTTAGGCTGGGTAGTAAAGGAAGGTTTCTAATAATTAAAACAGTAAGGTCTGGAATAATATTCTAGGAAAGTAATGGGTTGAAAACTGTATTAAAATGAAACTTGATAATTTTACAGAAAAGATTAGGACATTCCCTGTGATGGAAGAGTAGCTGACACTAAAGCTCATTTACTTCTACTTTCTTATGAAAAGGGAAGGAGAAATTATGTTTGCAATTCAAGGGACAGCTGGTAGTGACTATGGAGAAAACTATGAGGAAGAGTGGAGACTGGGAGAGCAGAATGTTGGAAGAGGAGGTTTAGGCCAAGATGAGAATGAACAGAATTGGGCAAAGCTTTTGGCAGTTGGAGAAGTTGATGTGTACACTAAAGTGACTACCACTGTGAGGGACTGAGAAGCAATGTGTCCCTCCCAGTCCTACCCCAGTGAACTCTCCTCAGTTCACACTCACAGCTTCCTAACATATTCAGCCAGCTGCACAGCAGATTTTGCTGATGTTCTTTCATTCTTCAGTGGTGCTTTGCTCAGTGGAATTTGGCTTGTTTCCTTGGGCCAGCATGGAAGAGCTCACTTTCACAGATTTAATTCCTTCATTTCCAATGGGAATTGCAGGATCTTTGTTATAACTCTGGCACCCAGTACCAAGCCATTTATTTGTTTTATGGTCTGTTGTTGCGGTGTTCAAGATGCTTGCTAAGACAGAGGCCCAAGAGAGTCTCGAATTTGATGTAAAAATACACAGTTTGCTGATGTTCACATTGTTGGATTTTGGAGGAGAGTAGCTAAGGCTGTGGAAAGCAAGGAGACCATTCACTTTTTAGAGGTGATCTTGGAGGGTGTCTGTGGTCTTTTGTGTATCCTGCAATATCTACCCCATCTTGGTGAGCTGAAGGACTTGAAAACACTGGCTGGGTGAAAGGGTCCTCCTTCCCTTGAGCTTCAACATTGGTGCATCTAGGAGGTCCTTGCCGACTGTACTTTCGTCCATAAACTGTTCTTAACTGCTATAACTCTTTCCATTACTACCCTGAAGATAGCTGACTGATTCTTTTGGTTCACAGCAAAGTGCAAGCTCGCAGGGCTTTCTCTGCCTATCTACAGCATGTTCAGTTGCGACTGATGAAGGAGGCTGGTGACCAGATCCAGAATTCTGCCTGGACTGCCAAAGAAGATGAGCAAATGGTAAGAAGCTTTGTGTTGGCCAGACTGAGAAGCCAAGCTATAATCTCCCTTGAGAGTTTTGAAGTCAGTTCCCACCCTTGGAAGAGCTGAAGTCCGACTGACATTATAGTTGTCTATTGTAGTCCAGCTGCCAGTGCTGTATTCTTAATATTCAGACAAGGTAGGGCTGCTGATTGACATCTAAGCAGCAATAAGAGTAGTCAGCTCTTAATGACTGGAATGTGGTTCATATTCAAGTTGCTCAGATTTTTCACTGATTCTTGTTCACTGATCTCTGAGCTTACTTGCTTTTGAATTCTTCTCTCTAAGATTCTTTAAGATAGCTTGGCAGTGTCTAGTTTCTGTTGCATTAAAGTATACGTCTACTCAACTAGAACAGGTAGCCAGTTAAGCTTTTTCACTTGTGTCCTGTCTTACCCTTTGCCAGCATCTGCATTTAGGAATCTTCTTTGTATTTGAGATAGAGGAAAAGAAAAAGAAGAAAGTCAAAACCGCTGAGGATAGAAAGTTACTTTCTAGCACAGATGTTTTTATTTGTGTATTTATTTTTTATTTTAAAACCATGTGATTAATTTTTCTGGGCTGTATTTTAAGGCCCTATATTTGATGTATACACATTTTCAAGAGTGCAGCAAGCCAAGATCCCCTCACAAACCTTCCTAAAACAGCTTTGTACAGTAGGCTCTTGAGCTTTCTTGCTGAATACATGTTCCAGGGAAAGAGGCAGTGCAGTTCAGAGATAAAATTGTGTGTCAAGGATAATCAGTCGACTCAGTGGAAAATGTTACCCCTGCCCTTTCCAAGTGGAAATTGAGAGTCACTTTGTCTGCTGTACTGTGAAAAATAATGTTTAAAGTAACAGATTAAACCAGCCTGGAGTAATGGCAGTGAGAGGCGAGCTGTGAAATCCAATAGTTTGGCTGTGAGGCTGCTCATTTATGTGTTAGCATTGCTCCTAACCAAAAGCAAATTCCAAGGGGAGACAGAAAGGGTTCAAAACACCCACAGGATGCATCAGATAGACATGGTGGGGGATTGGAATTACATGGCTATAGACGTAGTCATCTATTTCTGTGGAGAGACTGTGGTAATAATATGCATACATGAAAAGTGATGAAATAAGGCTTAGATCACTGTAGTGGAGATATCTGACCAAGATCCCCTTCCCTGTGATAGCACTGCGGGTTTTATATCAGTGTGCTTCATCACAGGCTTTCTTTAACACATTGCAGATTATCTATATCAGATTGCAGATTGTTTTTTGGAAATGTTCTCATTAGACTTTACAGGAGATTCTTTGTTGCTGCATTTTGCTGCTTGTTTTTTGTTTTCATCTGCCATGCTTTTTAAACAAATCCTCCTCAAGTGTTCTCATTTTCTCAGGACTGTGTGTTTAGTTCTTGCCAGTCAGTAGCTGCTGTAGTACCTCTGTTCTCTTCTCACCACATCTCGCAGGTGCTCCATTCTTAATGCCATCTTTCTTGCTTGCAGGAGCTTGTGGTACACTTCCTAAGGCGAGCTGCCAGCAATCTTCAGCAGTCCTTGAAGATGCTGCTCCCCAGACGTCATTTAGGAATAAATGATCGTCGTCGTATCCTGGCTTACCAGCTGGGCAAGTTCATAACCTGTTATAACAAGGTGACTGATTCTTTCTTGTTTCTTCTTTTAATAGCTCTTTTGGTTTCTGCTCTGAAGTATCTTCTGCTGGCTGCTGTCATAGTCAAGACAGCAGTCTGTTTAAAGGCTCTGTTGTGTAATTTACATGGCTTGTTTGCAGTTGTGCATCTGCTAATGGTAGTTTGTCTGTTCAAATTGTCAGAGAGACTACAGTAGTACTGAATTATATGTGCAGTCTGGTCATCATGTGCATAAAAATCAAAAGAAGTGTCAAAGTGGAGTTTAATTGGCAGTTCGCTTTTTCTCTTTGGCTAGTCTTCAGTTCCAGTGTTTTGTAATGCCTCTTCCCATTTCTCCCTGTTTTTATGGTGCTTCTTTAGAGATAATATTTCTTATGTAGAACGATATGAAATATGTATTTTACCACGTGTTTGATATACTGAGGAACTGCTACTTATCTGCAGTATGGGACTCTGCATGCTCAGTAAGAAGTAGGTCCTAATTTAAGTAATTTTCACCTCTTTAGATATAGAATATGCTGCTCTTAACATAGTGGTATCATGGTAATCCTTGTTTTGCAAGAACAGCTTCCCCTTTCCTTTGCTCCTAACATTTCTTTAGCGTTGGAACAAGGGTAGTTTAAATTTTGCTTTCAGACACTGCTCTGTACATAGGCCTCTGAGCTCCTTCTCATTAGCAGAGGTTGTTCACTTACATTACGTTGTAAGAACTGACATCTAGTAACTTGGTCTGTCAAAGCAAGGTTGGTATTGAACTAAATCTGTTCCAGGGAGTGTCTTCTATGCCTAATGCTCACTGAAATACTGTGTTAGGAGTAACCACAAAACACTCGGGTTGCACTGTGGTGAGTGAAGAATGCAGCAGCTTTGGATATAATTTCCACTCAAATTATGTTAAAACATGAGGATTTTCTGCTAACTCTTAAGTAAATTCACAAAATAAAGCTGTGTAACTGGTAATAGAACAGTGCATAAACATATTTTCTAGGTTAAAACAAGTGAGAACAGATCACTTGAGGTTTTATGACGTACATGTTTAAGCCGTTGAGAGACTCTTTGGTTATGCGGGTTTTTTTTGATGTCTGATTCCAACTAGGATCATATAGACTTCTTTCACTGACTTGTAACTTCAGCTTTAGTAGGGACTCCTACTTATCATTATGTATCTTCTGTAATGACACAGAATCAAAAAAACTACCTCCAGCAAGCTAAGTAAGAGATCACATATTGTCCAGACTTCTACTTAAGTAATGAAGGGTGGAACCATGTCCCAGAGTGGCTTTTTCTTCTCCCTCTTGAATTATCTTTCAAAGTGTCTGACCCTTTTGTCCTGGGAATGCTCAGCGTAGCAGAAGGAAGTAATGAAGTGGAGGTGAAGTCTGGTCAGATAAAGCTTGTGTGGTAGTATGGGTATTTCAGACAGGCTTGTATTTTTTTTTTTTTATTTTAATTAACAAAAATGTTTGTATTAATACAGTTGCTAGTGTCAACAAGTTCCACTGGTGTGAAATAGAAAGATCATTTATATCTGAGAACTTGCTCCCATTCTTACACACAAAGGTTCACCATCTTTTACGCCAGTATATTTTAGTGTATAATGCATATTTGCCACAGGCTGAACTGTTTTACTTTCTTTGCTTCTGCTGAAGCAGTATATTTTTGATGTGTAGGTAAGACCTTGGCTATTTAGTGCATGACAAAAAAATTAACTCTAGAGGAGAGCTCCTAGTTTACAGTAGGAAGTGTGGATGCCCTCAGCAGGCCTCCTTGATTGAGTTTCTTCTAGTATAATTTTGTGGGTTTTGTCCTTTCTGAAAAACTCCTTCTGGGATAGATGCTCAAATAAAAGCTATTCTGATGAACTCTGTATTTATGACAGAAAACAACAAAACTAGAAAGATTTTTTCTTTTTCTTTCTATATTTCCTTACGTCCCAGCAAAGTCTGTATTTGGAGAAGAGTGTGTATTTGTGAAGACTACTCTCTTCTCAGCAAATCAATTCTAATAAGTTGTATCAGGTTCAGTGTATACTTAGAATGCTGTCTTGCGGGCTATCTATATTTATCCATTCTGTTGCCCACAGTGAAATACTTAAAATTTGGCTCTTTGGAGTTATGTTCTTTTGTCTTAGATGCCATGGAATTGGTTTTTTTTCTTTGAGCTGTAGCTGTGCATGGAACATAAAGTAACTACATAGAGACACTTACTGATACTACTTACTAACAGGAAACAGAGCAGATGGTTCAGAAGCAATCAAAAAAGAAACAGGAAGAGGAGCAGGGAATGAATCCTGAACTTTTTCAGAACTTCATTAGCAAGGCAAGGTAGGAATGGATTTTACTCTTTTTGATAAAGGGTCTTGAAGCCCTGAAAGTGATGGGGTTGTTCTAAAGATGATCTGATTGATCTAAAGGGTTCTAAATACATTTATTGACCATAGCGCCTCCTCCTGCTCTTGCTGGGGACAAAAACTTGTCTTCCATCTTTTCTTCCAGCAACCAAACACTTGTAGCATCAGCATCTGGTGCTTAGAGGACATCTAAGAGATGTTTTGACCATTAAATAGATTACCAAAGGGCAACAATGGTTGCCCTGCTCTCTGTAAATTTCAAAGTGATGCTGGTGAGCTAATGGTGTCCTTCCTGTGATGCTGGAGTAAATGTGGAGTTATTTTGGAAGGAGAATGAAACTAGAGCTGCTGCTCAGATGGCCTTGAACTGCTGTGGTTGAACAGTTGTTGTGGTTCTGGCTCTCAAGTTTCTGCTCTCAGAAACAAATCTCATGCTTGCAGCCCATCTTCAGGAACTCTGCAGGTTTAGACTTTCTTAGATGAGGAAAGAAGGGAGTTATACTCTCTGTCTTCATCCTAGTGTCTTATTTGGCCTGCTAAGGCAGTTCAGAGCAAGCAGTTACTTTCACAATGAAACACTAGCATTTTCTAGCTGTGCATGCTTTGAACTTTGTGTGTCTTAAACTTACAAGGGTCTAACAGGAAATGTATTTTGGAAACGCATAAATATTCTTCATGGCCTTAAAGCATTTTATAAAAAAGTAATGGTATTATAGCTATCTAACTATGGAGAGGTCTGAAATTATTCAGTGAACTGGAATTATGCCCTCAAAGTTTCTGATTCTTGAGCACAAAACCTGATTAATTTTGACTGCTTTATTTGACGTATGTATGACATGCATGTATGGGCAATGACCCCTGTCAGTATGTGGACAGGTAGTGTTAACCTGCCTTTTTAACACCCTTCTATCTTCTCTGGGGAGGTTGACAGTCACTGCTTCTTTTTCATGATCAGTTATGAAACTGTTTTCTCTTTTTCTCTGTTTGGATAGCACTCTTAGTGACTAAAAGTGAGTTATAGCTGAGGCTTTTTAACTAAGTTCAGGAGGCTTTATAGTATTTTTTGAACTACATTCTCATGAAAACAATTAATTTTACATTTTAGTATAATTGATAGAGTTATTACTGCAACAGACTTACCGGCTCGAAGAAAAATCTCACTGTTTTTCAGATAGTTCTGTAAAAGAGTGATGCTCAAGGTGTCTGACTGCCCTATACCATAGCGTCTTCTCCTGTCACTAGAAATGCAGGTTACATGGGCCCACAGCATGCTTTTGGTTCTCTGATATCCTTGTCCACTAAAATGGCTGTTGCGTCCTAGATCAGGTCATTTTGATTTTTGCAAGAAATGTTAAGATATGCCTGTTAGGGTCAGAACTCTTCTGTTTCTTTGTTACTGGCTGCCATGCCATCATGGCCTGATGCACACTTCAGGCTGGAGCTGGAGATTTTTGCTGGACCATCTGATCATCTGTGTGATAAAGAGTAGTAAAAGCCAGTTTGCCAATGATCAGACAATTTCTAGTGATGATCTTTATGCTTCTCATGAGGTGTCAGGTATGTCTGAAAATTCTGATAAGGTGATGGCACTTTGCACTGTGCTTAAAGCTTAAATCAGTGAACTAGTCATTTGGAGCCCAGCAAAGGGTATAGATTTTCACTTTAAGTAGTTGTTCTGCTGTACAGTGAATGCGACACTAGAGAAAAGGGATAATAAATGTTGCCACTTGATAACTGGGGTTGTCTTGTTGACTTTCTAACTTCGATATCCCATGGATAGCATTGTATTTAGTTATACATATGCTACGATAATTACACCTAAACATCCTCAGTGCAATGTAGAAGAATATACTTACACTGATAAATTCATTTAAAAGCTTAAAGCACCTTTCTACCAACAACTCTTCTTCTTACATTTCCTCTTCACCTTTGTTGTCATTGGTCTGGGAGAAAAGGTGAACTTTGCAGCATACCCTCAAGGTCTAAACTCTATTGGGATGTGTAGCATGTTCCAGCTTTAGACTTTGCTTTTACCAAAGCTCAGGCTAGCTAAGACTAGTACAAGTGTGATGTGCAGAAGACATTTTGAAGGATTATAACTGCTGCTATGCTAACTTATATTCCTGTGTTGTGTTTTCTTGTATTGTTACTTTCACTATACTTCCTGCTTTTGGTGTTTGCTCTGCTTTATACCCAGTCACTAATTCTGAGCAGCACTATAAAGCAAAAGGAAAGCATATTACATACCAAAACAATCAGAATTACAGCTTGCACAAACTCTAATATGAATGGCCAAGTAACTGATACTGGTTTGGGACCAATAGATGCTTAGGACATTGGAGCAGTTAAACTCTTTTGTTGTAAAGAAAGTGAGAAATGCATGGTGGTTGTGTGAGCTTAATGAAAATATTGACTGTTCTATTTGTTTGTCCTGCAGTTTTGGCTAATTAACAAGCTTTTTCCTCTTCTTTCCTCTTTTCCCCCCACTGCTGAATTAAAACTACTAAAGATGACTATAAAACAGAGGCTGAGCTGAGTTCTGTTGTGAAAAATATAACTGCTTGTTCTAGAGAGCACCTGGAGAAGACTGACAAATTCAGCTGTGAACTGAATCTCCCCAAACATGTGTTTGCAATTTTCACTTGCTCTTTATTTGTCCTGGGAAGGCTCCTGGATGCCTCATTTTTTCTGCTGTGTAAGAAAACTGGTATTTCAGTGGGAAACTTGGGTTTAACTAAGCCGTGTTCCTGTCTTTCTGCTCTTACCCTGCAGAACTGAGCAAATTATTAACTTGTCTGGCCTAACCTTTTTTCCCCACTCCCCTTTTCAGTCTCCTTGTTGCTGCTTGTCTTTCATTGTTATGTGAGCGCATAAAAGCTTAGAATCCTCACTTATACCCATTCTTGTCTCCCTATTGTAGTGAAAGTGACTTGGCGGAAGTGCTGACGTTTTACACACAGAAAAACAGGTCAACAAATGTCTCCCTGAGAAAAAACTCCACAAGCAGAAAATGCAGCAACACCAGTAATGAGTCAGAGAAACAGCCTCCGGAGCGTAAGTTTTGCAGGCAGTTCTGAGATGGCATTGGCCAGATAAATCCGGTTTAACTGAAGTCTGTGGAAAGAAGTGAAGTGAAATGAATCTGGGCTAGCGTTTATAGGGAGCTAACTAGGGTGGGTCATGACTGAAACGATAATGTGCAAACTGAAGGCACTGAAATGAGCACAGAATCCCAAAGTCAAAGTAAGGGATGAGAGAAATCAAGACCTGCAAAATTGTGCTGCCTGCAGTGAGCATACCCATCGGCGGGCAGAGTCTGTCTATTTGAGCCTAATAAGGTGTTCATGGAAGGATATGCAGTGCCAGCCATAAATGTTCAGTAGTCCATGCTACTGTACATGACAGCACAATTGTGATCAATAGAGTTGCATGGTCTACAGTAAATATTAGCAAGAAAATCCATTGTAACAAGGTTTAAAATTCTTCAGTCCTGTTTTAATGATATCAGTTTGCATTGTTCTCCTTCCGAACTTCTCCGTTTTTTTTTCTAGAGCATCCTGAGCTGGTGAAAAAAATAAAAGGTGATCAGTCCAAAATTTCAGTTGCAGAACTGCCTGCAGAAAGAGCATTAAAAGGCTGTAAACCCAAAGAAGGTAAATCAACCTGTAAAGTGAACTGGCTTAAATCATCATCAATAAAAAAAATAATGAATGCATCTACTGTTTTAAACAAAGGTTGGAACCTTTGGGTTCATACTGAGAGATTCAAGTGTCCAATTTTGGGGGGGATTCTGCAGGGTTGTGGGGTTTTTTGTTTTGTGGGGTTTTTTTTTGGTTTTTGTTGTTTTTTTTGTTGGGTTTGTTTTTTGTTTTTTTAATAAACCCAAGAGAAGGTACTGCAGAGCCATCAGTTTGAAAGTGTTAGCTGCTCTACTGTGGGGGAAGATCAAGATATGTAACAAGCTTTGGAAGAGGATATTCATCATGTAGAGCCTCTTCTTGTCTTTGCCAGTAGATGAGGTCATATTGGCTTCAGTGTGTCTGGGTAGAGGCATCTTTGGTGTGTTGATGTTATCCAAAGGACCTGAAAAGGAGCTTTTTCTCATCTAGTGTGCTCATTATCTTTGTGTAGTTTCAGAAGAACCCATCTTCTCCTTAAACCCTGAAGTGAAATTACCTCGATGTGGCCCTTCTAGTGCTTCTTCCTCTACTTATGGTGCCACATTCCAGACAAGTACCAGTTCCTGGACACGATCTCAGCCTTCAGCCTCTGAAAAATCCCAGGTACCTGGTCACCATTGCCAACTCCTCCAGCTGGTCCCAGGTTGATTCAGGCCCCTTCCTCACTACCATCCTTGCAGAGCACAGCTCCCGACAGCTCCTCTGTCTTCATAAACCCAGTGTCCAGTGAGGCTTCTATCTATCTAGCCTTGCAGGATCACATTGTTGTCATTCTGGTAGCTACACTGTTGGCTCATTCTCATCTTTTCAGACTGCTGCTCAGATCTACAGCCAAAGATTGTCCCGACCGTACTCTGCAAAAATAGGTGAGTGTTCTGGGGTGCATAGTAACCTGCTAGATCATGTAATTGCTTTTGTATTGTGATCAACAGGCTGAGAGAGTCTGACATACCACTTACTAAGCATATCCAATGTTTGTTTGGAAGGTTTGTGCCATTGCAGTTCAAGTGGACAGCATGTGGGCTCAGCCAGGACACACAAAGATGCAGAAGAGACTTCTTCCCAGGACAATAGTAATAACCCCGGTATGGTAGCAGCAGAACTGCAGCAGGTGGCAGAAAAGCAGGTAGGCTGTCAGCATTCCCCACCACACCACATCAGTCTCCTTATACAGCAGGTGTGCAAGCAGTAAAGCTAGAGTCCCTGTCACAATAGAAAAGGCTATCACAGGCTTCATTCTCACAGTCCCTGCACTTGTCATCTTTGCTCTGATACTTGGATTTTGGAGATACTGTTTTTAACAGTGGTCTTTTGCTAAGTTTTCTGAAGCATCTTTAATAGTTGCGGTAGCTGGTGCTATTTGTTTCTTTCAATTTTATTGTTCTGTTTGGATTTTGAATATCTGTTTAGATGATTGGCAGTATCTCTTTTTAAAAGGTGGAGTGCAATTTATAAGTCCAGGAAGCTGAACTGATTGTTTTGGACTCTTCTGCATCTGGTTCAAGGTTTTGATTCAGCCTGGGCTGTTCCAAAACTAATACAGGCACTTTAGTCTTTATAGATAGGTCTTGAACTTTAAAGGATAAGTCACAAAACCAAAGCACCTTCTTGCTGATGATGCAGCAGAGAACGTGAACACTGGACATACCAGTGATGCTGAGGCCTGATCTTGCATCCGGCCAGACCCTACTTAGAGAGTCTGATCTTTCAAAGCCAAAGTGGTATGAGGAACACCGGGAGAAGCTTGTTTGCTTGTCCAGTAATATTCAGAGCTGTCAGTATGGTTCTCTTAGTGAAATCAGAATTCAGCATTTTAAAGCTAGACTTTGTCAGTAAAACTATTAAAAAAAATCCAGTAGAGAAATGAACATTCATTCAGGAAATGCTGACTTCTTGAAAGCTAAATATATGATGGAAGCTGCCTCCTTGGATAAAAAACAGTATCTAAAAAAACATCTCGGGAAAAAGGAAATGTATCTATTTCATCTAAGTCTTTTTCTGAAAAGAACTTTAAAAATAAATTAATAGATTTTTCTCCCTAAACCCACTCATTTCCCGCTTGGCTCCAACTGCTGTGGTTTCTTAGGTCCATCTAGAGAACCAAGCATCTTCTTGCTGCCATTTAAAAATCAGCTATATAAACTTCTGTATTCCTACCACAGCTAGTTACTGCTGGTTAAATTAGGAAGTATAGAAGGGGGAATCTAGAGAGTAATTCACAGAGCTCTATGAGGGAAGGGCTGTGTAGCTTCCTGAGCTGAGCTGTGTTGGTTTACAGAGGAGCATCCTTTGGTAACTGCAGATGGTGGAGGCTGAAGTCTGTTTAGTCGCCTATCAGTGCAGATATATTCAAGTCTGGAAGTGGCTATGAAGTGCAGTGGAAGCTTTGGAAATATGTTGGTCATGCTAAATATGTCTACGTTGCTTTTTGTTTCTGTGCTCTCTGAAGATACTTTCCCCACAGAAGAGTGGGAAATGTATAGAATGAAAGCGCTAATTCCATTCTTTGTGACCAGAAAACAGTAGACCTCAGCTCCTAGCAAACAATGTAGGTTATTTCCAAGTGAGATTTTGTATTGAGCAACACAGTGTTTGTACAGATAAATATTTCCTTTATGATAAGGTGACCCCTGGTAGAGAAGATCAGTTACCTAAATAAAAATAATACAATTGTTTAAAACTATTTCAGAAACTTGGAGTTAGTCTACCTTGTTGTAAAGTACCTGGCTGATATTAAAGGGACCTGATAGTTGAATTTAATCATGTTTAATGGCAAGATTATACTATTGATTTAGGGAGGGTGTAAGCAAGACACTTTTGAAAAGACTATTATTGCTGTGGACTGTTTCTTTTCCAAGGGCAAGAACTATAATGTGAGAGCTGAATGCCTTTGTATTTTGGTTCCCTCTGTTGTGCCCAGCTGTGTCTTGGGGGTAGGGGTTCTCTGAATACATTACCTCCTTCCAAGAGCAGCTGGGAAGCTTGTTTTCTGTTCCCGTTCTTGTGAGAATTGCTTCTGGTATCTGTGTGCTAGCTGGGGTCTCTGGGGTACCCAGGAATGTAGACTCAACAGCTGTGCTTGGAATGATGTTGCCATTCTGGCTGGGAGTCCACCTCTGTTCTTTGTCAATCCCTGCTGTTTCCTACCTATGCCCAAAGCACCTGTTTCATGTTTTTCTCTCTTACGCTCACTTCAATCAGTTTAATTTATTCAATCAGTTTAATTCAATTCAATTTAATTGAATATTCAATCAGTTTAATTTATTAAGCAATTTTCTGCTAAATTACAATATTCAAATGGAAAATTTTAAATGTAAGTATTTTATGAGCATGGAACAAGGTATCTGTCATCTTAAGAAAACAAGATTTTTGTGATTACATCAGCTTTCTGTCTTATCAGTTCTCTCCATTCTCTTCTGAAACACCAGATGGCAATTTCATGGTGATACTCATGAAATGTTCATGAAATGAACAGTTCTTGTGATATGAAAGATGGCGATGGTAGAAAGGTAAAGTATTACTGATGTGTGGTTTCATTCCCTTGTACAGTTACTTTTGAGTCGCCTCACAAAGTGTGTGAGAACATTTTGCCTTGCACTAATTTGTATTTTTGAAAAATATTTTTCATTATATGGTATAAAATTTCATCAGTGTATCTTTATACTTGCAACATTGGGAAAACAAGGGTGCCTTCACAGTGGTATACAATAGAAATACTGATCTAGAACCATGAAAATCATTACTTAATCCTCTGCATCACTGTATGATGTCTTACTGCCTAGTTGCATGAATAAAAGATGTATAAAGAGGCACAGTATTATTGTATATTAGACTAGAAAAGGAGCAGCAGTTACTTCTGTAACTGTCTTTAATGGCAATGTCTTTCCTGCACTTATCTTAAGGACACACTTGAGTAGGACAATCTCAGGTTATGAAAGATAAATAATCAGCATTACAAATTAATACAATGAAGCTGCTAGGGAGAGTCTTTGTTGTTTAATATAGCTGTAACAATGAACGTTGGTTTTTACTTCTGAGGATTTTTATTCCATTTTATTTACTTAAAATCACATATTTACAATGTTTTTGTGACTACATAAAATTTAATAGTAAAACTGATTTTGAGGTTATGACAAACAGTAGAGTTATGTGCTTCTGTGTGTAAGAGCTGTAGTACCCACACTATTCAAAAACAAGAAGATATTCCTCTAACTGAACTACCCCAATACCTTTGGGAGAAAGCAAGAGAGAGATCTGTAATGGAACATGTGTGCTTTTCAGGATCCAGCATTAACCTGGGAAGTTCATGGCTAAGTAGGGTAATAAGGGAGGTATCTGAGCTCAAAAGGTCATAAGAGAACAAATAAGAAAGAGAAAGCTTCTGTCCAAATTCCCCAAGTTTCAACTAAATTAGTCTTAAAGATATGTTCTTACCTTTTTCATGAAAAATGTTAGAGGCAGAGAAGTACAAGGCCCGTGAGTGTTTCAGTCAAGGGTGAAAATCAAGTGGAGTTCAAAATATTCTGTTCTCTTTGGACTGCTGCCTATCCAGTCAGAGTACATATATAAATTAGCCTGTTCACTGCTAATTTGGAACTGGCTGCAGTATGTGCTTGTTTTTGCTTGTTATTTAAGGGAATGCAGGGAGGGAAGATTTTGACTATATCATAGGTAGCAGACTTGTGAATGATCTGGTTATTAACCAGGGAGACACGTGGGGATGCCACATGAAATTAGATTTCCTTCAATGTGCTATTGATAGATTAATTTGTTAATTCAATGGGGATATATTCTAGGTCTGTAGAAACAATTTTTGGAGGACGTGTAATTTGCATTTTTCACTATACTAGGTATAGAGGAGATACATTTTTCTTCCCAGGTAATGAAGTTAAACTTGTAGAAGAAAAGCAAAAAATGTTCTGTGAGACTTCTGTGGCTGGATGGTATACCTTCAGGAGTTCAGAAATGCAAGAGTGAAGTGACAAAGTTTCTGCTGAAAGGTGGAGTCTGTGGTAAAGCTGGTATAGAGGACAGATAGGCAACAAATAAAAAGTGGAAGCAAGGACAGGTGGCCTGGGAAGAATGCAGGGATGTTGGCCGGGAAGCTAGGGACCAGGTTAGGAAGGCTAAGGCCCAGTTAGAATTAAACTTGGCTAGGGATGTGAAACATAACAGGAAGGGATTCTACAAGTACCTAGCAAATAAAAAACAGACTAGGGACAACGTGGCCCCCTCTGGAAGCTATCAGGAGAACTGGCTACCCTGGATTTGGAGAAAGCTGAGGTTCTGAATGACTTCTTTGCCTCGGTCTTCACTGGCAAAGGCTCTGACCACACCACCCAAGTCTTGGAAGGCAGACACAGGGACTGTCAGAATGAAGACCTTGGTCCCACTGTAGGAGAGGATCTGGTTCGAGACCATCTTAAGAACCTGAACATACAAGTCTGTGGGACCTGATGGAATCCATCCACGGGTCCTGAAGGAGCTGGCAAATGAAGTTGCTAAGACACTGTCCGTTATATTTGAAAAATCATGGCAGTCAGGTGAAGTTCCCGATGACTGGAAAAAAGGAAATATAACCCCCATTTTCAAGAAGGGGAAAATGGATGACCCAGGGAATTACAGACCAGTCAGTCTCACCTCTGTGCCTGGCAAAATCTTGGAGCAGATTCTCCTGGAAGGCATGCTAAAGCACATGAAAAACAACAAGGTGCTTGGTGACAGCCAGCATGGCTTCACTAAGGGGAAATCCTGCCTGACCAATTTGGTGGCCTTCTATGATGGGGCTACAGAACTGAGGGACAGGGGTAGAGCAGTTGATGTCATCTACCTGGACTTGTGTAAAGTGTTCGACACTGTCCCACACGACATCCTTGTCTCTAAATTGGAGAGACATCAATTTGATGGATGGACCACTCGATGCATAAAGAACTGGTTGGATGGCCGCACGCAAAGAGTTGTGGTCAATGGCTCAATGTGCAGCTGGAAACCGGTAACGAGTGGTGCCCCTCAGGGATCGGTGATAGGAGCGGTCTTGTTCAACATCTTCGTCGCTGACATGGACAGTGGGATTGAGTGCGCCCTCAGCAAGTTTGCCGATGGCACCAAGCTGTGTGGTTCAGTTGATACCCTGGAGGGAAGGAATGCCATCCAGAGGGACCTTGACACGCTTGTGAG